GGGATGGGTGGGAATTGGCCCTGAAAAGCCCCCATGGGGCCCCCCAGTTGAAGACCAAGTGGACGTGCGATCCTACGCTGTACGCACTGAAGATGGAAGAGTTTTTCGGAGAAACCGAAGACATCTAAAGGAGTATGATCCACCTCCAGCCCTGTACACTCCGGAAATGGAGGTCGGACCTTCAAAGATCACGGCTACATCAACGCCTCCAGCAAAAGGAGCGGCAAAGGACTCTGAGAAGCCACCCATACAACCACCCCAACCACTCAGCAGATCCCTCGATTCCACCTTCGAGTCCCACGGTACCAACACTAGCAGCTGTGGAAGACCTACCTGCAGGAGTAGCCGCAGCAACTAGGAGCAGACGTCAGATTAGTTTATCTGCTCATTTCAAGGATTTTGAGATGACCTAGCTTTATTAAGAGACATTGAACTTTGCGTTATGTTTTATGGCAATTCTGGAACTTTGAACCTTGCCCATTTCGTTGAAATTTATTGGGCTCATAGTTTGCTGATGCCTCGTTGTGTTTATTACTTTGAAGGATATTCTCAAGACCATTACTCGTATCTTTGTTGTAGTAGAATTTTTTTTATTTTTATTAATTTTTTGGTTTAAAAAAGAAGGTTGTAACGTCACGTGATAGTTGTTGTCCAATAGAATACCAGGTAGGACATGTGCTTGGGATCTTGTCAGGCTGTAGAGCTTGAACCGACTCATGGATTAAAAGTATCGTTTACTATAAGATCCGTTTGTTGCTGTACAAAGTCACAAATTTACACGTCTCAGAAAAAAAGACAGAAAACTGAAGGAATTTGTTTATGAGCGTATTCGTCCAAACATACCAAAGCTCTTGGCTACGTCGTTATGTGAAGGTTAGAAGAGTTACAACGAATGTTTGTAAGCTTAGTACGAAGAGGGTAAGATTAAATAAAGTCCTGTGAGAGTATATCAAAGGATAAGGATAATTAAGTTGAAGTATAGAGCAAGTCGGTAGTTATCAATGTTTTCTTGTAATAGACCCATGTGTCTTTATAAGAGTCAGACACACGTATCAAACTATTGTAAACTTCAACTGAGTTCAGATATAGAGAAAAACCCTGGTCCTACTCCAATTTACATTGACCCTAGCAAAGCAATAACGGCACTATACAGCCAAGCTAATGAGTTGGTATTTGGACAAAATTCAGGACTACAATGTGTTGCAATGAGTTTATGCTCTTTGATTTACAACAAGGAATCAATTTTGCTAATGATCTCGTGTGGTTACCTTTGCGGCTTATTTCAATAAAAAACGTGCCTTAAGCACGTTAAAGAACTGTTTTACCCTGATTGGGAATACAGCGACCCATACCAGGACTACAAACATACGTAACAAGCGACTTCAAAATCTAAAAGCACGTGGGAATAACTCACGTGATATTACGTAACGAAACAACCGGAAATGAAAATAACGAAACGGAATTAAAATGGTAGCCATACGTGTCAACAATGAATATTGGAAATCAGTTGTATTCAAGTTTGTCTCAGTTAACTAGACAATCATTTTAATACAGACAGAATTACCCACACTTTAAAATGTGTTCGAGACTGACTATGAACTTCAATACAGTGAAAGCTACACTGGTACTATTCATCAAGAAGCTACAATAGAAGAATATCAGTACTGCACCTCCTTAGATAGAGCCTTTCAATCATTTATATCTGAAAATTTCATCAATTTTGTCTTGACAATAGGATGTACTGCAGTTTCTATCTATTGTAAAGGTAATGTGAGCTTAAAAATATTTGATTTTCATGCAAGGGTTATTTATAGTAGAAGCCATCCTCAAGGAACATGAGTGCTGCTTGTAGTATCATCACTGAATAGCTTAGTACATTTTTTTCAGAGTATACATAACAATGATATATTTGAGTTGAAAGGGGTTAAAATTAATAAAGTTCAAAATAGCACTCTTTTTCAGAGTCATGCCCGTGAAACCAGGAAGTTTAATGTGAGTTGTGTTGTGGCTGTCTATTCACTCTGCTAAGCCGTAATAAAATCATGTAGTTATTGGAATTCAAACACCTTATCTGATGTTATTCAGTATGGCAAAAGACTATATGGAAATTCATCTTTAAACAAGTATTAACCATCAGATGATTTGCCAAAAACTGTTTGAATAATGTTTGAAGAACTGAAGTAAGTTTAGATCCTAAAAGTGATTACAGTGAAGGAATATTGTCTGATTCAGTTCACAGCAATTCAATTCTTGAAAATCTTGTAAGAAATAATAGTGAATGCAGAGGGTTTTTGACATGGTTTTCAGTTTTTCGGATGACATGTATTTTTAAACCCACAAAAAGGTCAGAGTATGTGTATTCCCTCTTGGTATTTAATGAAAGTCATATGCCTCTTATTGAATATACTAAAACTGTACATAGCACTGCTTCTCTTGTTGTGGCCATCAGCAATATTCAATATTCAGAGATTTTTCTATTAAAAACAATGTGAACTATTGAACAGTAATGTTGCTTCAATCTGCTGATTTCTGACAACTTCCCTTGGGTAAATATTTGGCAACAAACTATGACTCTGTACCAATAATAGATAAAAAAAACTCCCTTCTCCTTGCAATTGAAGGCAAATATTATTACCTACTCGGGGTTTGTAAAAGCCTTGAAAGTACATGAATTTCAGGACTAGGGCTTGATTTTTGTAATGCTTTTTCTCTAGCAATTTTTAACTTGAAAATTACAGTACTTTCATGGAAAACATTTCGAAATACATTTGATAATAAATATTAGAAGAATAAAACTACGACGTTTCGAAGTCATCTTGACTCCATTATCAAGTAGGGGTGTTAGTTGTAGTTTCGAGATTAAATACAAACAAAGGTGATAGAGTACATTAGAATAATAAGTGTTTCGTTGTCATTGGTGTTTGACGTGTCAGTGCGTGCGGTATATGTTTGAATAAATACTTTTGCACGTATTGAGTCCGACTGCGTGTTTAACTTCGGCCGTTCACGAATAAATAGCATTTCCAGAACAAGACAGTCCAGTTTTCCTCGGCATTTCTTAGAACGGAAAACATTTCGGCTAAGTCAGTGAACGCTACACCATGGTAGTCCTATGACGAAATTGTTCCTCAACAAATTGCAAATCATCAATTCTATGGCGTTTAAATTGCCCTTCCTGAAAGGGAGTGTAATTCAGACGGATCTATGAATTGTTATGGTTTATCATTATTCGCATGGAAGCAGTTGCAAGACAAAGAAGAGGCCATCGGTCGAGGATCCTTTGGTTTGGACTTGAGGCGAGAAACAATTCTGAGAAGGCCGTAATCAAGAAGCTATTATATTAGGTGAGGACGAGAAGGAAAAGCGTCTTTTTCTCAAAGAAGCAAAAATACTCTGTGATGTATGCAAATTTAGACACGAGATCAGTCACAAACCTCTAGTTCTTTGTCGTTCTTTAGTCCTCGATCGGCCCATTCAGCGCTTCACAAGCGGAATACTCGGCCCATACTTCTTCGACTCAGAATAACCGTGCCACCGCAACAGTTAAGCTCCAAAAAACTTTAAATCAACTCCACAATAGGACGAGAAAATGAAAGGCAAAGTAAAGCAAAGCAAAGCTTAGAATTTCGTGACTGACTGCGAAAACTAAAAAAAAAGAAAACCACATGACCAAAGAAAACAATGAAATACATTAAAATAATTACCATTGGCGGGAAAAGACACGACATACCTGACGCGGGGATTTTGTCTTCAGCAGTGGCAAAGTGTTCTTCCAAACCTCTTGTGAGCACGGATTGCGTAAGTATTTTCTCATTACTCGTTTATATTTTGACTGTGCTAAGTACCTGCCGGGAGGGAACGCCAGTCTTTTTATTTTTTTGGTTTGGTTCACCCATCTGGTCCTTGGCCTTTTCGGTGGGTCCGAACTTGGTTGGAACCCATCCAGATTTTCAGCTTTGCTGAACTTGGTGGGTTTTCTGCCTTTCTAGGCAGAGTTCTTGAGTTCTTTTTTCGTTCTTTCTTTCCCTTTTTTCCTTTTCTCTCTTCTTCATTTTATTTTCCCAACAGCGATGGTTTTAGTTTGTACAAGAACATGTGTTGTTCATGCTACGGCGGCAGTTACGTTCCTCTCTAGACCGGATGTTTTAAAGTTGCTTGAAAAAGTTGTTGATTTCCAAAATTGTCCGCAGTTCAGTTTGTTCCGAGAGGCCTTATTCGCCTTACATTTAAGGATCCTGATGATAAGGCGAGTCTGGTCGAGCGAGGTATTATTAATATCAATAGTGAGGATTGTAGTGTTACGAACTCTGATCGTCCTCACACTCTTGTGTACATACATCACTACCCTGCCGAAGGGGATGACGAAATCTTGTGTGATGACTTTAAACATTTTGGGAAAATCGTATCTCTTAAACGTCAGACGTTCATGGCGAGACCAGATCTCCTCGCCGGCTCGCGTATTCTCACGATGTCGCTGGAGAAACCCATACCGGCAGAAGTTACCATCGATGGATACCCCGTTCGTATCTGGTATCGCGGAATAAAACCCTTCTGCCAAATTTGTAAAACCATGGGTCATAAAGCCGCTGATTGTCCATACAATGGGAAATGCATGAGATGTGGGGTAGCTGGTCATTGGGCTCGTAACTGCCCTTCTCGCCGTACTGATAATGTCTGGGACTCTACGCTCTAAGGAGCTAGCGTTGTTCCCCCGGCTGCTGATTTCCCGCCCATTTCTTCTGGAGATGCGGCCAATCCTATTCCATCCAATGCTGTTCAAAGCGATCTCGTTGTTGATCTATCTTCTAGTGAAATGGTCATCTCCGTTTCTGGCGAAGCCAGTTGTAATAATGAAACCAATAGTTTAATTAAGGAACCTAAAGAATCTGAGGCCTCAGAAGTTAATTGTATTTCTAATAATAGTACCTCTGGTCAAAGCACCAGTCAAGTTAATAATAGTAAGTCTGGTCAAAGTACCACACCAATAGTCAATGAAAGTAGTAAGTCTAGTCAAAGCACCAGACCAATAGTTAATAGTAGTAAGTCTGGTCAAAATACCAGTCAAATAGATAATAGTAGTAAGTCTGGTCAAAGTACCAGCCAAATAGTTAATAGTAGTAAATCTGGTCAAAGCACCAACCAAGTAGTTAATAGTAGTAGTAATTATGGTCAAAGTACCACTAAAGTAGTTAATGTCAGTAATATTTCTGTTGTTGTTGACATCGAAGAAGATAATACTGAATTTTCTTCTCAGGACTCTACCCCTGTCCAGGGCTCTGAGTCCCCTGATATCTCTGAATTCTCCTCTCCTCTCACGCGGAGTGTGTCCTCTGACGGTTTTGAAATTGTCACCAGGAAACGCCCTAAAAAGCGTGTCATGGTTCCATCCCAAGCTCAATTATACAGCGCGGTCTCCAAGCCGACTAAGGCTGTTCCCAATCTTCCCAATAGGAAGGGGAAGCCCCAGCCCCAGCCCTGGCTTTCATGAGGGTCATCCATTTTTTCCTCATGACCTTGTCTGTACTTACTTTAAATGCTAACGGTATCAGAGACCGGTCCAAGCGAGATGGTCTCGTGCAGTGGTTGCGGAACTTACCTGTGAGTGTAGACCTGCTCTGCCTCCAGGAAACGCATTGTACGTCCGCCAATGAATGTCGTTCTTGGTTTCTTTCCTCTGGTTTTAATTCTGTACTATCTCCAGGTTCTACTCATTCTTGTGGGTGTGTGATTCTTTACAGCCCCACGTTGTCTTTATCCAACTCTTGGTCTAATTCTGACGGCCGTTTTCTTCAATGTGAGTTCTCATTTCGTAACCAATCTTTCCGTGTCTGTCGTTTGTATGCTCCGAATCGCAACCCTGCACGAGACCATTTACTTGACGGGATCCACCCTAAAGTGGACCCCTACATTCCTACGCTATTGTGTGGTGACTTTAACACCGTCTTTGACCGTAGCCTGGACAGGCGTGGCTCGACCCCCTCCGATTCGACGCGGGAAAGTACTACATCACTCCGCGGCCTCTTTGACGCATGTTGCGTTCTTGATATCTTCCGGTATCTACACCCCACATCTCCCGGTTTTACTTGGACTAAGTGGAGTGGCGCTCTTGCGTCCCGGATTGACCTAGTCGGTGTTCCTTTCCTTTGGATAACATCAGTAAATTCATGCTCTGTTGTTCCGTGCCCTTTCTCAGACTACTGTGGTGTTCTCACCTCAGTGTCTGTCCCAGATACTGTTCCACCAGGCCCTGGGCTTTGGAAACTGAACACAGCCATCCTCAATGGAAGCGAATATGTCCAACTGGTGACCGACTTCTGGCTCACTTGGCAAGGTTCAAAAACTGTATTCACTTCTCTCAGAAAATGGTGGGAGGACGGCAAAAATCGCCTCAAAGGTCTGACAATTAACTATTGTAAGTCAAGGTCTTCCACGAAAAAGCGTAACAGAGACGCTCTCGTCAATCTCATCGCCCACCTGAAAGCAAAAGTGGATGCTGGTTCTGTCTCATGCGTCACACCCTACCGTTCAGCTCTCTCCACCCTTGCAGCCCTCGATGGCGAAGCTTCCCGTGGTGCCTAGGTAAGGTCTCGGATTAGATGGGTTGAGGAAGGTGAAACCTCATCGTCATACTTCTTTCGCTTAGAGACAAAACGCTCAGTAGATCGTTGGATACCCGCCCTGCGGGGCAGCGGAGGTTCTATCGTCTCGTCCCCGGAAGACTTATGCCTTAGGTTAAACTCCTTCTATTCTGATCTTTTCTCCGCCTCTCCCACCGATCCTCATGCCCAGTCCTCTCTCCCGTCTAATCTCTCGTCCTCACTCCCACCTGATCAGGCCAAGACATGCGAAGGCCTTCTAACCATGGAAGAGTGTCTCGCTGCAGTCAAAGGCATGGCAAAGAACAAGGCCCCTGGCCTGGACGGTTTCCCGGCTGAGTTCTATCTCAGGTTCTGGAGTGTTCTCGGCCAAGACCTTGTTACTGTCCTAAATCATTGTTTCCTCTCCGGGTCCCTCGCTCTCTCGCAACGTCGTGGCATTATCACCTTTTCATTGAAGAAGGGAGACGGCCTTGATCCCTGAAACTGGCGCCCAATCACCCTGTTAAACGTGGACTACAAGATTGCATCCCGAGCTATCGCTGGCCGACTCTTGAAAGTGATCCACCTTATAGTCAACAAAGACCAAACCTGTGGCGTACCTGGCAGATACATCGGGGAAAATGTCTCCTTAATTCGTGACGTGGTTCACTATACTACGTCCACGGGTTTCCCTGCGGCGGTCTTGTCACTCGATCAGGAAAAGGCCTTTGACAGGGTAGATTGGGATTTATGTAGGCTACTCTCTCTGCCATGGGCCTTGGCCCCTCATTCATCGCGTGGGTGTCTCTTCTATCATCGTGTACAGAGTTCTGTAAACGTCAATGGGTATCTCTCTCCGTTTTTCTATCTGTCGCGGGGTGTCCGATAGGGCTGCCCCCTGTCCCCCCTCCTCTATGTTCTTGCATCTAAAGTCCTAGCTGCCAGTATTCGCGCTAATCCGCGAATCTCTGGCCTGTCCATCCCTGTTTTTCCACCATTATCTCCGATATCTCAATATGCGGATGACACGTCACTCATCTTGACGTCGGATGACTCTATAAAAGCCTGCTTTGAGGTTTAGACTCTTTTTGAAGTTGCTTCTGGTACTAAACTGAACCAAGCGAAGTCCAAGGGCCTCTGGTTGGGTCAGTGGGTTGGCCGGACTGACCCCCCAGTCGACCTGGACTGGTCGCCAACAAAGCTAAAGATCTTGGGAGTTTTTGTTGGTCCCGGGAATTTAGAGGAGGAAAACTGGCGCCCTCGCATAGAGGCTGTTGACCATGTTCTCAAATCCTGGCGTAGTCGTTCCCTATCCTTCCGCGGCAAGGCCTTGCCCTCGCTCGGGTGTGGTACGTGGCATCACTCGTTCACATGCCTCCCTGGGTGCGGAAGGAACTTTGTCGTCTTGTATTCTCCTTCTTCTGGTCTGGTAAAGGGGAACTCGTTGCCCGCACTGCCGTGACCCAGTCCCCCCTATTCGGTGGCTTTTCTGTTGTGGATGTTTCATTTAAAGTATGGGCTCTGCTCGGCCAGTGGGTGAGAAGGTTTATGTCCTCCCCATCTGACTGGTGCACCCTGTTGTTTTTCTACTGTCATTTTCATTTTGGTGTCACTCCCCTCGTTGTTTTTTCCCGCCCCTTCTCCTTTGATGCCCGTGTCTTACCGCCCTTTTACCAGTCCCTTATCCTTGCTTGGCGCGGCCTCAGTGGCTCTTTCTCCACGTGCCAAAACCGCCTCATCTTTGGTCTTCTTGTCCACTTGTCTGCACTCCTGCCTCTGATATGTCCACAAAGTCCTGCTATTCTTATCTCCTATCTGAGAACATGGTTCAACCACATTGTATAGAGAAATTCAACCTTGTTTATCCATCTCTGGATTGGCCTGCCACGTGGCGCTCTCTGTCAGTATTCGATCTCGACCGTCCTGTGATAGACCTCAACTGGAAGATATCGCATGGCGTCCTTTATACCGCCCAACGTCTTGCCTCTTTTGGATTGTCAGTTCCCCTCCCCTGCTTTTGTGGTGCCCTAGTGGAAACACTGGAACACCTTTTTTTCTACTGTCCCCTTGCCCAAAGTATACTCTCCTGGCTCCAGTCCCTTATGTTCTGTTTTTCTTCCATGTGCCCAGTGTTACTCCTCCGTCACTTTCTCTTTGGCCTCAACTCTGACGAGCTGATCGCCACCCCCCGTATCTTTGTGTACCTTCTCAATCTGTCCAAATTCTGTATCTGGCAATCCCGGAACGACTTCTGCTTTCGAAACACCCGTCCTGGCGCTGTGGCGGTCATGGCTAACGTTCTGTCTCACCTCAAACATCACCTTCCCATCTTGTTCAAGAGGTGCAAGTCTGACAGACGTCGTCGCCTTTTTCACCGACAGTGGGGCGCCCGTGGAACCATAGCTTCTGTTGTAAACGGCTCTCTGGTTTTTTCCATCTAATGGTTTACCCCTCTCCCCGCTACTTGAGCGTGTGTGTCTAGCTTGAGCGAGTGTGTCTGAGTCACTTGTGCTGGGTCTCCTTTACTGGTGTACTGCACAGTGGCTCCTTCGTGTTCTCCGTTTCCGTCTCGTAACCCCTTGTCTGCGGTCTTCTTTATTGGTGCACTGTACGGGGGCTCTGGTATCCGTTGTGTGTCCCTCGTGCTGGGTCTCCTTAGTTGGTGTGCTGCGCAGGGACCTTGTCTTGTAACCCATGTCAGTGTGCTTTTAACGTGTGTGTGTGTACGAGGTGGGGTTCGATTCCCCAACGAATTTGGTGTCTGGTGACCCTCAGTTTGTGGTGGATCCAGCTCGTAGGCCCTGCACCCCCGCCTCGAGTTGGATCAGACGTGTGGTCGGCAGGCATTGCACCACCCTCACGGGAGCCTGGCCGTCCGCCTCAAACATAAAAAAACTCCATGGAATTTAAAGCGAACATATTGTTAAGTTTAAAGCTGTGTGCATGGAACCGAGTGCAATGATGCTTGAATATTTGTTTTTCGACCTCGCTCCCTTCGGCGGCTCAGAAATTGTTAGCAATCTGGACCGACTTTTACATTATATTCACATTAATGAGGCAATCGACCGATTTCCGCTTCGAGAAAAGATCGCCCTCGAAACGGCGACAGGATCTATTCTCACCGTGCAAATTAGACGAATTAGTGAAATAGCCTCTTTTTTGTACAGAAAGTTTATTTCTTCCGCTGATATGTAAGCCGTAAATTTCATAGTAGATTGGTGGTGTTTTGGACACCTGGTCGCGAAGAAACTCTTCAAATTCTTCTTGACAGCTTCCTTCTGTTAACTTTCTTTTGTCTTCTCACGCCATGAGAAATTTCCACGCGCATGACCCCATGCAAACCTCTCTTGCTCCCACGCTAGTCTAAGTTTGGTCACGAGCGTTATCGTAGTGGGAATGAATAAGCCAAGCGCTTGACTGTCTTTGTACAAAATTTGTGCAACATGCCCTGTCATCCGTTCCGTGTTTTACGATTTGGGGTCATTTACCGCCGTTCCGGGTTTTAGGATTTGGGGTCATTTTCCGTCATCCCGCCATTCCGCCTTTCCACCGTTCCTGGTTTTAGGGTCACCCGTAAGTATGGTCTTGAGTAATTTTTTTCTGGTGATCGTATCACGAGTTAGTGCTTCTCACACAAATCAACAGGCCCAGACCCGGCTTGTGTTATAACTGCAGCTTTTGCAAGAGCTTTTATGCTCTTCAAAGACAACATTTAACCGATTGAATCTTCGGTACGGGTTGTACTACACTTAAAAGAGTCATTGCACTCTCGCAAGCCAACAACTATCGTTTTGATCTATCGGTGCGGGTTGCACCACTGAGTGTCTGAAAGTGTTTGAAAGTGTCTGAAGCCTCCTGAAAGTGCCATAAATCAACAAAAAAATAAGTTGTGTTGTAGTTGCATTCTCCT